ACTATGTGCTATACAAAATGATCGACTGAAAATCTGGCTTTTGGAAGGCGAAGTGTGGTTCTTTTCGATCTCCAAAGGATTTTTTGGGGAAATGATTTAGGGCGATTTCATCAAATTTTAAAATTGGATAAAATGAGCTGATTTGACGTTGCCGTCAGTTATTCGAAAATGTGCACATTCACACGCAAACTCGATTGTTTCCCAATTTACATCCAATCTACAGCTTGTTTAATATAATATCATGTTACCGTGAATATTGCTGTACCACAAAAGGGGATTGAAGTCCTGAAATTGTTGCATCGCTCCCATAATAGCGATATAACTTGGCAGAATAGTGTCAATAGTCAACACCTCTTGACTGAATGATTATTTACAAAACGTATCTCTGAGTCAGCGTTTCTCTCTTTCCATTTCGTTGAAAAGGAGGCTGTAATTACTTCACGTAAGAGATCTTTGTTTAAATATAAGTCTTAAACTAAACCACGAACCAAATGTTGGCGAATTGTTGCTAGTTCAGAAACATGTTTCTCGGGTGCGGAGTAACGCTACTTAATTCAAAATTAGGGTCCACAGAAATCGACAACTCCGCAAAAATACAACTTAAGACCGTGAAGCATGTGGCTACAGAAACTAATGTCGAGTGTTACATAAAGGAAACAGGAGCAAACAATTATTTAACTCCGATCCTTATTGAGTTCATATTTTTATTTTGTAAATTATTGTTTAGGTTGCTAAAGCTCATTTTAGGACAAAAAGAACGAAAGATAAACCTAGTTCGGTGCTTCTGCTTGCAACAATACAACTGTATTTTACTGATAAGTTTTCAACTTCCCTAGCTACACTTTAACTAAATTTTTTTCTGTTGACGGTATGTAATATTGAAAACGAGTTACAGTCAAACCTACCAAATGAAATTCAGAGGGTTTTTTATCGTTAATCGCTGAAACCACGCTGAGTATCTATAGAAACGCTTGTTGCTTACTTTGCGTAAGAAGGAACCGGTCGAGATGACAATTGCCTCTAGTAGAGGTACGTAAGGATTTTAAATAATTTGTAAGTATTTTTTACGACGTTGAAAGATTGAATCGTATTTGTTTCCTCTTCCTTACTATTTCAATCTCTATTGATTGTCTGATTAATTACAGAAATTACCTTGAAACTGGCATTTTCGTTCACCTATAAAACGAATTGCAGAGAGAAGATCATGATGTGAACTCTGCAACAGCATCGCGGGCGTGTCGTTGTCCTCACAGGGACATCTGCTGTTCGTTCAAAACTATAGTAAGAGTGCACTATGACCTCGACGGACGATCCAAAAAAACGGGAAACAGTAATTATACCTCTTCTTGCCCGTTCAAGGCGGATTGAGAGCAATTCCGCTACTATCGGTTTTTCCGGCAGGGCCAAATGACGAAGTTGACCTAGTTCTTAGCCGTACAGCCATATTCTCTCCTCCTGCTGACATACATTCTATGACAATTTGTCCCTCGTTTAGTGCAAAGCTTGGTTTGGGGTGAACGAGAGGCTCTAGTTCGACGCGCAGAGTTCCTTCTGACATATCAAACCACGCTCAATAACATATCGCCATATGATGCATTGATTGGCTTTGGACTTCTAAAAGAAGTAGTCATTCACTTCTTAAATTTATTATCTTGGAAGGAAAGATTAAGGAGATAGGCACAACATGGGTTTGTTTCCTTTTTTTTTTCTGGTTAAATCTAGATGTCAATCCTTTCCCGATGGGCGTGAACATTCTGGTTGACCAGACAACAGGCTTAGAGACCGTTAGTGACCCGCCCCCCCCTTTTTGCCTTATTTGTTTTTAGATGACCCCCCCTTTAAGGTCATCTTTTTATGGTGACCCTCCAAATCCCACCAGCCCCGCCTACCTTGTAAAAAATGAACGGTCCCTTATGCTAAATTTTTCATTACGCATCAGCCACGCTCTATAATATTTCGCCATATAATGCATTGATGGCCTTGGACCCGACCATATTTGAAGGAAATTGATCACTATTTGGCTTTAAATTATGATGGGAGTTAGATGATTGTTTGTGCCTGTTTCGTATATGTAACGCACGACCTTAGTTCCTGTAGCCACGTGTTTCATAGTTCAATGCTTTATGTTTGCGTTTTATTTCAGTTGACCTCATTTTGAATTAATTAGCATTATTCTGCACGCGAGAAACATGTTTCTGAACAAGCAACATTCCGCTTACATTTGGTTCACTGTTCGGTTGTAGATTTATATTTAAACAAAGATCTCTTACGCGAAGTATTTCAACGAAATGGGAATAGAGAAACCCCGAGATACGCTTTGTAAACAATCATTACTAGGAGGTGTTGACTATCCTGCCAAGTTCTATTGCTATTAAGGGAGCAATGCAACAATTTTAGAACTGCAATCCCCTTTTGTGATAAAGCAATATTGACGGTAAGATGATATTATGTTAAATAAGCTGAAGATTGGAAGAAATATGGAGAATATGAGCCGAATCGATTTTTTGGCTGTTGCCACCAAATGTTTCACCATTGGTAACATTCGCTTTTAACACCTGTCATTTCTTCAAATGAGGTATAAGTCACCATAGAAATCAATATCATCCATGTCCGTTTAACAGGCATTCCTTTATGTAAGAGGCAGTAACACAAGTAATTTTACCCATGACTGGTATCATTGAAGAAAGCCAAAGGGTCGAAACA